CCTCCCCCTTTATAGCGCTCTGATAGCATTTTAGACCTAAAGCAAACTGTCGTACCATATGCCTTTGAGCACGTCTTACGTACGATGAATACGGAATTCTCCATGCTCTAAATTGAATAATATTATACCTAATTTGAATTAATGTCAACTAAGACAATAAGACAATATCGATTGGGAAAATATTGATTGTACTGCACTTATAAGCAAAACACTCTCATGTGTCACGTATCATTGGAATGACTAGACGATCGAACTTCTTCGTGAAAGTTTCACAACAAAATGGGATTTATTCATTAACTTCCCCGTTGCGATAGACCAACATTGAGAGAAACCTTAATCGATTTCTACTTTTCATGTCTTTAAAATGAACGTTTTTGAGGGGAGATCTTCTCAGAGACCACCTGATATTTTTAGAAATGAATAAGCGATGTGATGTCAGCAAGAGGCGGCAACAATTCCAGAGGCAAAGGAGTTGGGACCTGGTTGTATATTTGGTATATGGGAGGGAGGAGAAGTCGCATTTGGCGCCTCCCCTGCACCCGGTTATTTTGTGGGGAAAGATTTTGCTCTTTCGTTGTTGCTTCAAAGGCACTTGGCACGATAAATCCTTAAGAAGAGTGGGATTAATACGCCCACAGGACGGAAGTTCCGCGCCCCTGAGCAGGCCCTAGGTAGCGCCTTTCCCCAAGAAAGGCACCCTTATAGGGCTTTATCAAGCTGCAATATCCCACCGCGCCACTCACACAAATGGAAGACTGTACCTGATGCACATACTTGATTTGTGACGAGAAATGTGAAGCGAAGGATTGATATGAAGCGGCCGCGGTGCTGCATGGATATATGAGTACATACGTGCAGCCGTATCTACCGTAGCGGTTATTGGCAAGATGCCTACGGGAAACTCGTCCGAAATTGCTTTCTGAGTCGTTAAGAACGAAGGCTTTCTTCGCAGGTTTTTGACGTTTCACTTCGTTTTTTTCGCCATTTTCCTACTATAGAGCACCCTGCTAGCATTCTAGACCGAATACCAAGATTATCGTGCCATATGCTTTTAGAAGAGTTTCGAGTTTCAGACTGATAGTTGAGTACAAGTCAGCCTTGACGCATCATTCATCTCACCATCAGCTATCTACGGTATCCGGCACTTACGCTGAAGTTGAAGCACAAAAACTTACAGTTAATTTACGCACGCAATCTCATGGCATGGACAAACTGTGTAGGTGTTAGGGGTTAAAGCTACCCCTGCAAGTGGATTTCTGGCAGATCTACCCCAAAAGCCAGAATCTCATAAAGACAGCGTCAGTTTTGAAGAATAGTGTATTGAAGAGTCAATAGTTTCATTGGAGTTTCTGGCTAATCCCACGTTGCGCTTCCCCTTCTACACAATAGTTCCTTTCTAGAGAAGTGCTGTGGGAAAGTAGGGTCTAAAAATCTAAGGACTGATTAGTGCCTAATTTGCGTTATGCTGCCTCATAG